ATCCGTTGTATCAATTAAGAATTTGGAATTTGGCTTTGAGGATGAAGTGAGTTAACATGATTATCTTATGCTAAAAAGTGGGTGTAAATTTCTTGTATATGCGTGTGGGATATTTATTTTATTGACATCAAACTGATGATTTTTGTTTTTTCGGTGCTAGGTGCTCTTCAAGAAGGCAAATCTTACAATTGAAAGGGGAGAAAAAATTGCCATTATTGGTCCAAATGGATGTGGCAAGAGTACTTTGCTGAAGCTCATAATGGGTTTAGAGAAGCCAAATGGGGGTGAAGTTGTGCTTGGGGAGCATAATGTATTGCCAAACTATTTTGAGCAAAATCAGGTATCGCTTTGATCGAGTAAATGCTATATCGAGTTAATCAAAGATGATGTTTCCAGTGCAGTTATCCATGCTGAACCTTTTGGGTACTTATTGCTGATACAGTTCTAGTGCTAACATGATTGATTCATTTCATAGGCTGAGGCACTTGATCTGGAGAAGACAGTGCTTGAGACAATAGAAGAAGCTGCTGAGGACTGGAGGATAGATGATATCAAAGGACTTCTTGGGCGTTGTAATTTCAAATCTGATATGCTTGACCGGAAAGTTTCCCTATTGAGTGGTGGTGAGAAGGTAAATTCAAAATTTAATTGATATCCAATTACCTTTTATGGGCAACTAAAACATCAAATTTTGCCATTAATTCTGCAATGAGTTATGGTTTTCCCCGAATCCTGTATTTGGTTCAGCGTGCTTAGCTAATAAAATTTGACTTACCAAGTGCATAATGACCTTATGACCAGAGAGCTTGGGAATTTTTTTTGAAGGAAATGAAGTGAGCTAGAAGAATTAATATTGCTTAAAAAAATGTTAAGATGTGAACTCCAACTTTAAATACTGGAACGGATGATCCTTTCTCCCGATTTTTTTTTTTTTTCATGATTTAGAACTTTTGGTATATTTCCCTCTATTTGTATTTGATTGGACTAGAGTGTGTCATGTGTTTTAGGGACAAGTACAGGAAACGTTTACCCCACTCTTAGGGTATAATGTTTTCTTATAACTTAATTTCTTACATTCCAATGAATGCTGCTAGTTAAGGTTTTGAAAAATGGACCAGTTCATCCAGTCTAACTGGAAAACTAGTGAACTGGAGTCTAGTCCAGTCTGAAAGTTGGCAAAGAACTTAACAGATGGGAAACAGGTTGAAAGTTGGATGAACCAACCAAAAACTGGTCTGCCCATACAAAACTGGATGGGTCCTGGCGATACTTGTTTTCACCGCTAGGTAACTGCTTGAAACATAGGTCTTTTGAAACTTCAATAGCCCAGTTCACATAACATGTCCGAACTCATCCTTTCCCTTGTCTTTTATGAGCCCTTCTCTACTGGTCGATATGGGATAAGGGCCATCACATGATCTCAACTTCACCACTCCTGGCCCTATTCAAAATTTTCTTGTCTCTTCATTCATCCTTGGTTTTAAGCTTCAAAATGTTCTTTGCATGAGCTTCAGCTGCCTGAAGCGGGGAAAAAAAATCCATTTGGTTATTTTCCTCTTTGAAAGGTAGCATTTTGTACTTCAACAAAAGCCCTTTTATAGCAGCTCTCTGTCTGTAACTTCTTTTCACTCTCAAGTGCCATTGATGAACCCAGCTTCCTTGAGTATGGCTATAGATGAAGATTGGTTTTGGGTTGGATGTGTGTGCGTATCTAATCTTTCTCCCTTCTCTCCCTTCCCCCTTTTTCTATATATGGATGCGCATGTACTTAACAATTATCATACTTCTCATAGTATTTCCTTAACTAAGCCACATTGTGAGGTTGAAAGATGGTATCCATGAGGAAGCTTGAGCTATGGATAACATCATCTCTGGATGTGGTCATGAGTAGTTGAACCTGTATGGTGTCAAGGAACCTGTATTGTTTTTAATTGGACCAATTAATGTGCGTGATGAAAATCTCTAATTTAAGATTTTCATTCAAATTGAAAATAATTAATATGAAATTGAAAATTTATTATTTTCAATTATGACTGGTTTAACCATGGTTCAACCAGTAAACTGTAAACCAAGTACTTTAACTAATTTAGTATCTTGTCCAGTTTTCATAACATTATTATCAGTTGAAATTTTCAAATATGGATGTTGAGATGAATAGGCATGCTTCCATTTTACACAATGTATGGAAAGTGTGTAGTGATATTTCAGCAGTTTTAAATTCAATGGCGTTACCCTTTCTCTTTCTCATCTTATGAGGCATAATTATGTGCATATTTTTCATCTTGTTTTACTAGGCACGACTGGCTTTTTGCAAATTTATGGTAACACCATCAACTCTGCTTGTGTTGGATGAACCAACCAATCACTTGGACATACCTTCTAAGGAAATGCTTGAGGTTTGCGTTTCTTTTTCTTGATGCTTGTCTTTGCTTACTGCGTGTGATACTCTATTTATAATTTTTTTTTTCCAGGAGGCGATAAATGAGTACAAAGGCACTGTTATTACAGTGTCTCATGATCGATACTTCATAAAGCAGATAGTTAATAGAGTCATAGAAGTTAAAGATGGAACTATACAGGATTATGCTGGCGACTATAATGTAAGTTAGATCATCACAATTACCCACTCCGTTTTGATAGTCAACAGTTTTGTATTCATATTTAGTTAGATACGGATCACATAACTTTTAAAGGCTCAGAATGCTGTCAATTCTACTTGTTTTAGCATTGATGATAAGACTTGGCATGATATTGTGGCATTTACTGGAAAGGAAAAACAGGACACGGTGGTGGCTGAGATAAGAATGCATAGATGCATTTTTCCTTTTTTTTTTTTTTTTTGGGGTGGGGGGTGGGGGGGTAGTTTATCAGTCAAGTTCTTTGCTTGTGATAGTTTCTAACATGTTTGAATCCTAAAATTTGCAGTACTATTTAGAAAAGAATCTTGATGCTAGAGCTAGAGAGCTTGAACGTGAGGCGGAGCTTGAAGAGAAAGCTCCAAAGGTGAAAGCCAAATCCAAGATGTCAAAGGTAAACGCCTACCTAGCTTGGAATGAGATTTTTAGAAGTGCAATGGTTGTTGTTTCACACTTTTATTGCTTAAATATGTTGTTTCATTTGCAATGACAGGCTGAGAAAGAAGCACGGAAGAAACAGAAGATGCAGGCTTTTCAGGCAGCAAAGCAGAAGTCTAAAGGGTCAAAAAATGCCAAGAGATGGAATTGAGTGGCCCGTTTTATGAGGCCATAGAAATTATTAATTTTTACCTTGTAAACAGGATAGAATAGCTATCGTAATTGAGCTAGCTATTAAAGCTCTTGTATAGGTCACGCATGAACAAACTGACAACTTTGGATATAATTTTGATGGAATATAGAAGCTTGGTTATTGCCATCGTCTTCTGTGCCCGTGTTATTACATTTCAGACTAATAATGTCCCATCCTTCATTAACTTTCTGTATATACACATCAAAACACGTATATATTGGCAGCTTCCTTATTTCCTTTTTGCTCATTTGACTCGCCAACTGCGTTTTCTTGAAAGAGTTCTGAATCTAGTCCCACTCTTTGATTTTCCCAATTGCTTCCTTCATGTACAATCCCAACTTTGACAGCGTAGACTACAGCATCAGAACTGTTCCAATATTCAGGTTCTAATGATTGGTTGGTTAATAAAGATTGCAGAGTCCGAAGGAAGATTGCAAAAAGGTGTACATTGATGAGTATCCAACATCGCTTTCAGATTTTGGAGTTAGCTTTTTAGGATTTTCAACTTCTACATGAATAGGGTAGTTTGGTTAACCAACCCTTTTTCTTGAATTTCAACTTTTTTCAAAAAAAAAAGAAAAAAGAAAGAAAGAAAGAAAGAGAAGAAAAGAACCCATGTTCTTAATTGTCATATTCAAATGAAAATTTCAGGATTTTAACCATCATCCCTCTTACTTAGCCTTGAAGGCTTCAAGCATCATGTTCCCCTTAAACTGTAATTTCTGATACTTGATTAACAACGAACACCTAGACAACTCAGAGGAGAGCTCATTTGGGTTGGCGGTTATAAACATGTTTCACGTAAATTAAGATAAAACTCCTTATATACTTACTTTATATTTCATAAATTATTATTAAAAAGCTATTTATATGCCATGACAAACAGGTCTTTAGGAGCTGTGATAATCTTTGGCTATTTTATTTAGGGCCTGTTTGGAATGGCGGTACAAATCACTTATAAACACGTTTTACATAAGTCAAAACAAAACTCTTCTCATATACTTGTCTCGTATTCTGTAAGTTACGATTGAAAGCTACTTATAAGCTGTTCTAAACAGATTATTATATTCCAGCGTTAGAGGTGTGTGTATATCTTATAAAATAAAATATTTACCATGTTATTAACGTCTCTGAAAAGAAGGGATGTGTATTTTAAAATAAAGGTGACTAGACTAATATTTGGTGGCAGACATAACATTATTTTTATTATTTAGAAGGGATTTGAATCTCGAACTTTTTATCTACCCTTTGCATCATTTTTATCTTTTTAGTTAGTTTTAGGTGAAAAATATAACAGCTAGCATCTATCTATTATAAATGAAATCAAAGGCAGTAAAAGAAATATATCTATTTATAAGATGTTAAAATAAAAAAAATTATAACAAATTAAATTCAATAAGTAATTTTTCAGTAAATAAATCGAAAAATGTTTAAATTAAGGACCATGTTAATTTTTCTGGCCAAAAAAAGAACAAATAATTTTCCAAAAACGTTGCTAAACGGGCCGAGCCACAGCTTAATATGCTCGCCCATATATTAAACCCTGGCTCCAAGCCTCCAATTGCCACTCCTCAAGCTGGCGCTCCGGCCTTCGGTTCCCGCGGCCACCGTTAATGACCGTTCATCTTTGCCTGTAGCTCTTGCTTTCCTTTGAAGATTCTGATTCGTATGTGTGTGCGTCCATATGATACTACACACTCTCTGATAAGAAAACATTGAAAGAAACTTTATCACTCTCGTCGTTCAAGTTGTTGTTAATCCAGCATAGCACCAGGGAAGCGCGGGAGTGTTGTTACTTGTAACTAAGCAAAAGACACAGATTTTCGCCCGTTTCATCTGTTCAAATTCCATTCACTGGATTGTTGCGTGGTGATTTTTTATTTTCCTTTTTGTTTTGACTGACTCCTGTGTAATTCTGTACGTTTTAAGCTTTTGTTGTTGTTCTTCGATCTCTCTCTCTCTCCTTGTTCTAGGCTTCCTATTAATTGTTTCATTGATAACTGTTGTTCAGATTACAATTTGAATGCTAGATTTTCCATTAATCGGCGTAATTGTTTCGTTTGATCGCTTCTTTTTGGGTTACAGTTTACTATGTCATCTGTTTTTGGAGTTCATATTATTGATTAATTGAAACTTACTGCGATGCTTTCATTATGCTCTCATTGTACTAGACCGAGCAATGGATGTGGTTTCTCTGGGAATGCCAGGGCCATGGGCTGAAGACTGTTACGAATCAGCTGATCATTACACAACAAAAGTTGGAGGAGTTCCTGTAAGTCATTGCGGTGTCTATCAAATTCAACATGATTTTCAGAAGGATCTGATCCCTTTTTATTCCTAAACAGGACTGGCCCCTTCCCAAGGAGGCAATACAAGCTAATTTGCTTCAGTGTGGTGCGTGTGGGATTAAACTTTGTCTTGTTGCTCAGGTCTTTCCTTTTTCCACCGTACGACTTTACTTGGAAATTCCCAAGAAATGAGTACTGAGTGACGTATTCTTTTCCGTCTTCTCACAATACAGGTTCATGCTCCAATATCAAATAAGACTGTAAAGATTCAGGAACGCTTTCTTTTCGTTTTAGGTTGTCTTACGCCAAAATGTGGAAGTTCTTCAGAAAGGTTGTTTTTTTGTATTTATTCTTGAGTAGCTCTAGCATTTAAATGATAAGAATTATTATTTTTGCTTATGTTGATTCATGCTCTGAATTTCCTGTTTTGACCACTTGCGGCTTGTAGCTGGCGGGTTCTTCGAGTTCAGAAGACCTGCACTCAGGATTTGGAAGTGGCTTCTGCAACTACATCATCTCCTGCTGTTCAAAGTACCAGCTGGTTGGATGATGTCAATGATGACGACGACATGGATTTAGAGCAATTGCGCAAGGCTCTCTTTGAAGCTGGGACTTTGGCTTCTAGCAGGAAAAAATCAGTCTCTCGTTCGCGTACTGACACTGCTTCTTCTTCTTCGCCGAAGCCTAGAGTTAGTGAGGTTGATATTGATATGCCAGGTAAATTTTCATTAAGCAAGAAAATTTGCCAAGATTGAAGCCCTGGCTTAATGTTTTACTACCTCTGGTTTCAAGACTCACTAACATTAATGGCAGTGCTTAATCAGCTGATCCCATCTCTTTTTTTCTTTTTCTGTGCTCATGCTAGTCAGACTATTTCTTTCTTCTATCTTTCTGTTTTAAGTCAATTACAATATTTCAGGCGAGACAGATTCACTTCGTCCTAAGTTAATGTCAACTTAATTAGTTAAGGTACAAGAAAATACGGAATGTATCGGAGAATAGCTGTTGTTAGAATGTGTAAAGGTGCAAGTAGATTTTGTTGAAAGAAGACAAACAGTGAAGTAACCTATCTACGTGAAAAGATGTTTACATGTTTCTTTAGGCATTATGGACACTGCTCTAGGGTTGAAGTCATTGATTGATGTCATGGTTGTTTCCAGTGGTGCCTTGCTTTTATATATACTACGTACATGAAGAACCATCCTCAGAGGGCCTTAGTTCAATATGTTCTAACTACTCATCGCTTTCCATTAAGGAGAATGGAAGTGATAATGAGGACGAAGTTTGGGAAAAGGAATCTTATGAATATGATAGAGCTTTGACTGCTGATAGAACATACCTCAAGTTCAAGAAGCGCTTGGAAGCACATCCAGAGCAGTGTTTCAGGTATGTAACACATGCACACACGCATGCTTGCTTCAATTTTATCAGTCTCTTTTTATCCCCCTCCCCCCCCCCCCCCCCAAAAAAAAAAACTCCAATTTATCCTTGTTTCTGTTTCATCCTTCCGTTCTTCCTCTTCCCACATTCGTGGTCTAAGCCATTGTATTATGCTTTTTCTTATCCTTCATGCGTACAGATATTCATATGGTGGGAAGCCACTTCTAGCTGCTGTTGATAAGATAGACCCTGGCAGGTGCAAGCTATGTGGCGAACCGAGGAATTTTGAGATGCAGCTAATGCCTCCATTGCTATATTTTCTGCAAGAAGCACCTGATGACAAAAAACGATTGGTAGAAAATTGGGATTGGATGACCCTCATGATTTATACTTGTTCCAAGGTTAGTATTATTCTGCCGTCTCCTGTTGATTTTAGGTGACAAGTGTTCGGTACCTTTTAACAAGCTAAACAATCACAAGAAATAGTAGATAGCGAACAATGGTATTGGTGTTGCAAATATTCTAATTGTGCTCAAAACTGGACTTGTCTATATGTTAACCAAACTCCTGAACTTTGTTTAAGTTGAAGTCCAACCATGTTTCCAGTTACCTTTTCATATCTTGCGTTTTATTTAAATATCTTCATTTCATTTCTCTAGAAACATGCATGCTTCTGGCGAATAGTTGTCTCAAATTTGTCTGAACTCAAGCGTTTACGTTGAAATCGATGGTATTTGTTAGGATCGTGCTCTCAAAGTTTACTTTGACGATGTATGCAATTTAGCCGTAGAAAGTTTAATTATACTCGGAGAATGATCTGTACTGTGAACCTTTGTTTTTGTCCCTATCATGCACTAATGTTTTGTATCCTTCCAGAGCTGTTCTGAGATAATTGACCGAGGCAAGCCGAAAAGTAGTGAATGGATTGTGACTGAGGAGGCAGTTGTGGCACAGTGTGAGAAATCCATGCCTGTTCGTAACTATGATTGGTGACATTGTCAAGAATACCACACAATGAGTTGAATTTTGTCCTGATGTGCCTTGAGGGTTTTGCTTTCTGTAAAGTTCACTTTGCATGAAGATTATGCAACTTTAATGTAATTCTACACTGGTTTTGTTTTCTTTCGGGAAAAAAAAATATTTGTGATCCAAATTAATTTATGATGCTTATAAAGTAGTGGTTTAGACTGTCGTCTGAAAAGAGGCAAGGTAAAGAAAAATCAGAAAGAGTACTTCATGAAGTTGTTGAGTAGAACCTGTTGGATTAACAATTTATCCAAAAATTTGATTGTTAACAGCGTTGTCTGATTTATATAGTCCACACCCCCCCCCCCCAAAAGAAAAAAGAAAAAACTCTGTGAGATTAAGCTTCTTTGGTAAAATTAAGCTTCTTGTTGTTCAATAGAGTGGTTCAATCATAGGCATGTTTGGATAAGGATGAAATTTGGAAAGGTAACAGAAGCTTCAAGATAAACAGATTGTTTCACATTATCGTTTTCTACTGATTAAATAAGTGTGTAAGTGTGTGTGTGTGTGTGACAAAAAGATTTAAAGCTCTGAATCAGACTCTCGCTCAGAGGCAGAGGCAGAGGAAGGAGCCTTCACTTTTTGTGCGGTCTTGTGAACTGCATCTCCAATCATTTCTGCTGCAGATTTTGCAGATTCCTTCACTGTCTCTTTGCTTTTATGGAAGCTCTTCTCTGCTGCTTCTTTCATTCCATCACTTTGGGCCTCCTTCGCTCCCCGGAAACTGATCAACAAGGTGTCACATTTCTCTCAGGTTAGATCATTTACAGTTACACACAGTCAATACATTTAGACGAAATTCCTTTTTTCAACTTTCATTATCAAACTATGGAATAGATTGGTATTATTCTTCTGCATATTATAATATTTAAGTTATTATAAAACTTAAAGCAACACTGAATCAAAACCTTCTAATTTGTGCAGACTCAAATCCTTTACTATTCCTATTAAAATCAATCAATATTAAGCATTAAACTTATGACAAGCTCATCTATTATTTACAAACTCTGCACTAAAAATGCGTTTAGCCAATATACGAGGTTATGGGAAAAAATACAAGGTTCAGGAGTCATAAATGAATTATTCTTCAACTTCATATTATATAAACAAAATAATAATAAATAAATAAAAATGTCGAATTAATTTCTAAACTTTCACGTGCTGTGTCCTCTGTTCAACATCAACGTGACTAGGGAATGAAACTCCAAAAGAAATATGTAACAAACCGTTAAAACTTACTCCAAATTTGGAGGAGAGAACTTCATCTGAAGGTCATGGATTACAGATTTGACCTTCTCCCACGAGCTTTTGTGAGACTTTTTGAGTAGGGAAACAGTATCCAGAACATACTTATGTAAGAGGGGGTATCCTTGTTCATCTTGAACGACAGGGTGGCCGGCGCCGCCTTGTTGAACGGCGATCTGGAATTGAAGAACCACCACGATGAAGAAGAGAAGAAATAGAAGCACAGCGTTTCTGCTTAAATTTGCCATCATGATGCTGCTTCTTTCTAGGGGGATAAGTACCAAAGAAAAGAGAAGTGAAAAGGAAAGAAATTTTCACTTCGGCACGTAATTTGCAGAGTCTGGGTTCTCAAGATCGGACACGTTCTTGCTACGTGGACGAAACAGGGGACTCTCGTCTTGCATGTACATAGGGGTCAATGCTTGAAGTTTTCAAATTGTGATGTGGTTAGTTTTTCACTCTTTTTGGGGCCAAAAAACTGCAATTAGTTAAAAGCAGAAAAAGAATAATGGAATTAATGTAGATATTTAAGACCAAAATTTGTAAGATATTTGATTTGGTTCTAAATTTAATATTCTAATCTATTTTGTCTCTCATATTTATTTATTTATTTCTCAAACTATTCTTATTTATATTTTATTAACTATAATTAAATACTACCACAATAATTCAAATAGATATTACACATAGCAAAATTCTACTTTCTCTGCGCGTCTCTACAAATTTAATATTTCTTCCGATTCTGAATATAAAAGCTAATTTGATTTTTAATTTAATCATAAATATAAAACTCAAATTTACTTTATCTCTCATATTTATCTATTTTTTTCAAAATAATTTTGTAGTAGTTGTACATATTAAATGTTCAATTAAATAGTAGTTGTAGCTAATATATGATTAGTAAGAGTATTTTAAGAAAGATAATACATAATTATTATAAATAACGAACTCAACAAACTTTTTTAATCTATCCAAATTAATCAACCAGCTCTTATATTAAGAACCAAATGTAATAATTAATAATCTAACCACCTTTCGTTTGCTCGAGTGAGATGTTGGAAGTGATTTTTTTTTTGGGCCAAGCAGAAGTGATTTATGTAGTAACGATGTGAAATATATTTTAATAATATGTTAATTCAAAGCAAGACAGGTGATCAGGCCCAAAAAATAAAAAAGCAGGATAGGTAAGTAATATGTACCAACCTATGGGTTGAACCCATATGAGTTGGATTGATGGGCCAACCCGTCAATAATAGATTTTTTTTATTTTTGTATTTTTTAATTATATTTTCCTTGTACAATATCTAAGACATATAATGAGATTTTTTTTTCTTGAAACATTTGAATGACAACATCAAATAAATTATATAAGTATTTTTTAATTTTTAGATAGAATATAATAATATAATTATAATAATTAAAAAATAAAGGCGGGTTGGTGGGCTAATCCGCAGCAAGTTACGGGCTTTACGGTGCGAGTTAAAAAGATTCGTTTATTATGGATTGATTTTTAGCCAATCATAACCCATCATTTTTTATGAGTCTAACTCATATTACCAACTCTAACCCTCACATGTATCAGCACTCATACATATATTAGTAACGCTATGAAATAATTATACATGGCGTGAGCTTTTACTGATCAGGTATTGTATTTTTTAAAATTTTATCTAAGAGTACTTTTGAAACACCAAGTCACATTTATTATTATTAACTAACTAAAATAAATTTTTTATTTTTTTCAAATTAATCAATTGGATTTTCCATTAAGTACGTAGTATGAAGTTTTGCCCCCTTCATAATAAATTACTATCTCGATATTTAATATAAGATTTAGTTAACTAATTTTAAAAAATTAAATAAATTAACCATATGTTACATGATTTCTAAAATGCTTATGTACATCATTAGATTATATATTAATTTATAAATAAAACAAATTAGCTAATTTTAAAAAAAATGATAAATATAAATACTTTAAAATTATTTAGTTTTTTTAATCTCCTAAAATTAATTAACTAAGTTTATATTAAATACCAGAATTAGTATATTTTACCCTTTGCTCAGCACTACTTTTTGATATTGTTCTTCACAGAACTTTGACCATTCTCATAGTAAATGGCTATTTTTAAAGTATAAGTTTCCATGGTTAAAACGTTGTTGTTCAAAGGGGTTTTCGATGAAAGAAAATATTGAGAAGTTTTTTTTCCCTTTCTAATTAAATTGTGAAGGTTTTGTGGTAGGGCGAAAGGTTATCAAACGTAATTACTAAAGGCTCAATTCTAAAATAAGCTTCATCTGCGCACAGATTTCTTTCTTCTACAGGCCAATGTTTTAAAAATAAAAAAAATAAAAAGGAGATTTCTTTCCTCTACAGGCGAATGTTTGGGGGAAAAAATAATCAAAACCAAAAACAAAAGGGAGAGCTCAGATGCACGAGACAGATCATCCAATTAGATCAGACGCATGTGATTGAACACCAACCACAGAACGTGCGAGGATCTCCTCACAGCCCTCGAAATGCACCAGCCGGGAATCGAACCCGGGTCTGTACCGTGGCAGGGTACTATTCTACCACTAGACCACTGGTGCTCGTTGATTCCTAATTGCAGTGTTTATATTGATTTTATTGATCTCTTACATTGAAGGCCATTTGTCTTCTCCCGCCGCGTTCCCCTTTCTACTGCACCTGTCCTTCTTGCCTCGGCCACAAGTATGCTAGAGAAGATTGCTTTTTTTTTTTTGGGATAAAATCCATTTGTCTTTTAATTTTTTTTTTGAAAAATTATTTTTATTTTTTATTTTTGATTTAAAAAACAACTAAAATGCAAATTGTTTCTCCTATATTTAGAATACTACTTTATTTAATTTCAGTAAGTTATTTATTTTTTGGGTGATAATTTCAGTTATTTATTTCTTTCTTTCTTATCTTCGTCCCCATGTTCAAAATAACAAGAGTGGCGGAGGCTTACCTCTTTTTCTTCTCAATCCACTGCTGTCATTTATCCACCATGCTAAGAAAACAAGAACGGTATATATTTTTTGCGCAGCTTCATACCCCCTTCGACACAAAACAAAAGAAGGCTGATTACATAATACTTCCTCTGGTTTTAATTATAAAATGTCGTTTGTAGTCTACAAACAAAATCTTATAACTAGAACCAGAAATAGTATATATATCATGAAGCAAGATCATCCAATGGAGTTTCCGATTGGCATGTCATATGTTCAAGTTGCCTCATTTTCTTATTTGATAGGAAATCACTAATCAGCAAAAAAGATCATCCACCCCCGTTGCGCCGAGGTGGTAGATGATTATAGGTTGAGCATTGTAAGACCCTGGACTAATTAATGAATTGTCTTCCTGTTTCATTCAAAAAAGAAAAAAAGAAAAACAGTATATATAAGCTTCTATCAACTAGGAAATTCCTTTACATTTACAGAAAATGTACTGCTGAAACTCTGAAGAGATAAACTAAATTTTAAATACAGAAGAATCGATCTTAACTATAGATGCTTCCCGAAACACCCTTTGTATTGATAAAGCCTCTAAAAAAAAAAAGAAGAAAGAATCAATTGGCCACTTACAGGTAAAATAGTGAAGCCATTGCACCAAGTTATGACTTCATTCTAAGCAAAACAATACATCAGTGCATCAACAAATGAACAATTACCCAAAGCAGAGGTCCTCAGATATTAATATCTGAGCGCTTTGTTCTAGTGCCTGCCCCACTCTCCGAGGAGCTAGAAAAGAAAATCTTGGGAGGCTATAGCTTTCAGATATTGAAGCTGGCTGTTGAGAGTAAAGCATGGGTGGCAGACCGAGATTACCCGAAGCCCAAGGGGGTGGAGCAAGATTACCGGGAGCCCAAGTGGGTGGACGTACGTTGTACATGTAAGAATCACTCCTTTGACTGCAGTCACCAATGAATGTTTCTAAGAAGTGATGCAAAACCAACTAAAGAAAGAAACTAGATGGAGCTACGGCTTCAAAATGATTTGCCGGGCAAGCAGAACATACCTTGCAATAGAAGACTGATCATCTTCATCAATCACATTGTCGTCGTCATCTATACGCTGAGCAGGTCTTGGAACCGAAGAAATGGACCAGGCACTTGGTGCAGGTATTTCATCTGAGAAATATCTCCTCCTGATCAACTAAAAGAAAAGGCACTAGAAAAGTCAGATGACACCCCATTCATTTATTTACGAGAGGGGAAAAATGGATATTAGATAGTATACAGACCATATGAAAAAAATTTCATCACAGCTTCCTTGTCATACCTTGCTTCTTTTGCAGCCTGCAGATGTCCAGGATACAAACCAACATATCAAAAACTTCCATACAAAATGCAAGCATAACAGATCCCTACATTAAGTGTTGTCAATTATCAGATATGGCTTGCTATATCTTAGTTACATCACTTAATTTAGGTTTTGAATGCCTGCAAGAGAAATCAAAATCCCCATGTAGTGTATATTTAGCCTCTCCAGTTCAAAACCAAAGCTCAAAGCACAGTGGAACAACACAGATAAGTTCATCATTCATGGTAATCATCTAAGTGCATTATCGTATACCTATACATCAAGTATAGGATAGTTGTTAAAATACAAAGCAAGCATAACAAAAATTTCAAAATGCCACTATATCAGCATGTACTTCGAAATCCAAAGCCATTAACATAAAATTGCATATTATCGAATTCTGACTCAACACAAAGTTTTCATGAAGTAGCACACTATCTTAATTGTGAAGAATTGGAAATCATAACTCGAAGTCACAAATAAAAATGACATATATAATAATTTTTGTGGAGACACTTACTGCAACTAACCCTCCGCTACCAGGAAAACTCTCAGTCAGAGGAATCTCCTCACTTGATGGAAGGAAACCCTGCTTCTCAACCCATTGGCGGGCCACATCAACAAGATTCCCGCTGCTTACTCTTCTACCCTCTTTTAAAGCAACATCAACCTTGTTACCAATAACAATATAGGGAACAGTAAGACCACCAGGACCACCAGAGCTCAAAGGGGCAGAAAAGGTGCCGGTTGCAGCAATCTCAGCTGCCCACTTCTGTAAGCTAGCCTTTGTTCTTCTCTGTGAGAGATCGTGAACAAAAATTACACCTGCAGATTAAGTTTCAATAAAAAAAACCTCAGTTTCAAAAATAGATATTCAAGTTTCACGTAATTGATTATTGAGGCTTCATTAATTACAAATGAATTCTAGTTGTAGAAAATTCCATAAACTCAACTACCATCGAAATATGGACGCTCGTATAGAAAATAGTAGCAGAAGTGTGCCATGCAACTGAGATTCAAACCACCAATTCCAGATAAATTTCAGATACAGATTAATAGTTTCTGATTTTCCATTAAGTTATTTTGAATGGTGCGACAAACTCATTTAAGAGATAACATTTAAAGTTTAATTCAATATCATTTATTATATTGAATATATAGGGCTTAAAAAGAGAAGTCAAAGATACATTAGGTGGTTATTAAAGTATCAGAAATCATTTTCTCCTCTTTGAAGACTTAACCCTATATTACATAGCAAACACGCAACTTCTTCCTAATGTGTCAATAATTAAGACAAAAAGGTAGATTATTAATTATCACTCACCGTTAAGTTGTGCATAAAACAGAGACCTGCAATCTTTGTACCGATCATGTCCAGACACGTCCCAAAGTTCAATGAAGAAACCTCTCTCAGAATCACCTTTAAGATTATTTGAAGAGCTGCCAGAGTTTCCATAAGAAGTGTGCTGGAAGAAAGCAACAATGCATGGGACACCTGGTGAAGATTTGTACTAGAGCAACAACTATGCATTTTCTTGTGTGACCAGAAAGCGGGGAATCTTTACCTTCACACCAACTGAACAACCTATTGTCTGAGGAGGGCGAGCAATGGAAGAACCTTTGATGATCAGATGAACTAAGGAAGTCTTCCCAACACCTGCAAGAACATCAAAATACAAAATGACTGCAGCATAGGACTCATCAGCAAAGAAAAACGTGGATATGATATGACTGACATACTTAAAAGAGCCATATGGTGCCCGTGGATTTAGTAATAAAGAGTTTGAAACCATGGATTTTCCTATGGATGGGCGGTCTACACGCCGTACCTAGTCCCCTGCTATAATTATGGAACTTTCTACATTTATGTCTATAGAAAACGAGGCAGTTCCCTCTCTGCCAAAATTATAAAGACTTTTTGCTTTGATCAATGGCTGCCCAATCAAAAACCATTATTTACTATTCACGAGATGAAATAGCCAATGCCTATCATGCATGCAAAATATGATTTATGCCAGATTAATAATTCATGCCACAGTTTCTTCGCTCCTATATTTTAGAATGCCTTTCCATTTAAAATATATAAAAAAATGTGATTAAATAATTGTATCAAATCACGCAGTCATCTGCTGAATCCATCCATCAGAACTGGTCAAAATACTGAATTAACTTAGTCAAACCAATTCAGGCAAGAAATTTGCAGTTTAAATCGATCCAGAGTCTATAACTTCCCAGAATCAGAGATTTCCAACATGTAAAGCTGATATATTAACCAGAAAGACTTCTCTACGATAACTCTGACAAACCACATAGATAGGACTCAAGTTTGTCAAAAGAAATTATAGAGTGAGTTGAGGACAACTGCCACAGAAATATTATTTGCAATTCCCACCATCTTCAAGTTGTTTCTCAAACACAATAAGTCGTTGACAATATTAAAATCTGCCTAGACAATACATTTTCTAAAGCCCTAGCTGAATGGAAAATATATGTAATGCACTAAAATTGGATTTCTGTCACCTTGCATACAACAGACTATGTGCCGGTCGATTGGTGTAATGTAATTCCTGGAATCACCTGGTTTCACTATTCTTATCTAAGGTTGTCAGCGGCACTACCATGAAGCCCCAAAGATATTTACAGCACAACTACTACATGCTATCGGTTGAGAGATAAATAACTTTACTTTCGTTCACAGCACATAATTTTGAAATTTGGTCGACAAGCTACACTCTAAGAAATAGTCGACGCCATAGCAAACTTTAAGCACAAAAAGATTGGGAAAGAATACTAGAATGGAAAAATCACTCACCTGAGTCACCAACAACGAGCACTCTAATCTGCCCATACGGCGGCCCGCCGCTCTGGCTGCTGTTCTCCCTTTCGCGTTCCCTCCAGAACATGGTTTCCTCCAGACACTCCTTACAAATTTAGCTTCTAACGCAATTACGAAAACAAAACAAAACCTGAAACAATTCCCCGGCACATCAACCCGTAACGGATTCAATCTTCACGAAAAGGACCAATTTCTCAGCATGTAAATTCCGACTTCCATTCTAAAATCCGTCTGAGGTAAAGATTAAGTCAATCTCCTAGCAGAAATTAGATATAACACATTATTTCACTTCTCGGAAAATCATCCACTTTGGTCGACGGATCTGACAAGAAGTCACGAAGCAAATAACCAAAAACGAATCGACCAGGAGAAGGTCAAGCAAGTTCGCTCAAAGTTGGCAAAAATTCACAAGCTATCCGAACAGGACAGTGAATTGACAACTTGCAGAAGACTTGTCATCAATCTGCAATGTTCAGAGAGGCCTAAGACAAAAATAGTGCGGATCGAGAAGGGAGTCGCGAGCAACAAAACTTGAAAGAACGCGATCGCGCTTATCCCACGTGAATGCGGCATTTCGCTTTCCTTTTCCCGTCGTTTTTAATTACATTTCCGTTTTCCATTGCTCGCGCCCGGCATCACGTTCACCGACAAATGAGAAAGGTTCAAGTCCAATATCTTGGAGATTTCTTGAAAAAAAATTTAGGTAGAAAGTATTGCTCCGGTCTTTAACACTTGCAGGTATTTATTTATTTGATTTTTATTTTTATTCTAAATATAAAATTACAATCTATTTTGTCTCTTATATTTATACATTTTTTTCAAGGTAGTCCTTCTAATAATAATAATTCTAATCAATACACTTGATTAGCAATGACATTTTAGGAAAGACAACATTTATTTATGACAAATAACCAGCTTAACTTACTTCTTTAATTTCCTCAAATTAGTTAACTAGTTCTTATAATTAGGACCGGAGGTAATATAAGATTTATTCAACTAATTTGATTAGATTTAAAAAGTTAGATAAGTTAGCTAATTATAAAAAAATATTACATGTTTTTCTAAAACATCATAATCATCTTTCTTAATATTCTCCCTTCCTCTTCTACTTAATCATGATTGAGGGAATATCCATGGAGATAATTTAGAAAAAATTAATATATATGATAAATAAGTTTATATTTAGAACCAAAATTAACTTAATAATTAGGTCTTATATTAAGGACCAAGAGAGTATAAATTTATCTTAAAAGTTTAAAAGTTTTAAAAGTTTTTTACGTAAATTTGCCTCAAACGTTAAAATCATAATAATATTGTCTCCTCCTTAGCAATGTTAATAGTTAACATCATTGTCTTAACGGTCAACATTAGTCTTTCAAGTTTTAACGATAAAAAAGGCTATATTATGACAGTTTTAAACTTTCAAAATCAATTCACATTTAAAAAAAAAAACTTTCAAGTATTTAGTGCTTCTAGGTAAACATTTCTAGAGCAAATTTATAACTTAACTCAAAATTTAGAGGTCAAACACCCCTCTAGTTAAAAACAAAATTAAACCATGATTTTCAATTTAAAAGTTACTTTGTAAAAAACACATGATATTTGGATGATTTTGTCCTAAACCATGGTTTTTCTCCAAAATGATGATTTGAAGTAGTCAAACACCCCTTAGAGTAACTCTCATGATACGATACAAATGTAGGTTACTATTCACAACTAATCTAAAACCATGATGGGATATATGTAGCGTGCTCCTAAATAACAAAGATGGAATAAAGCACAAAGGCTAGACGTTTGCAAAGAGATGATTCAATGGGGACATGAACATTGATAACATGCATAAACCAGTACAAGCAATTGAAGAAAACACAAACACCCTGAAAATCAAAATGTCAACCTGCAGCATGGAGCAGAAGGGAAATGAGGGCTTGTTACTTTTGATGACAAAATGACATTTTAACCCTTCTATAAACAGTACTCCTCCGGTCCTAAATGTAAGACTCTTATATACATATAAGGGTCTTACATTTAAGACCGGAGAAATATATAATTATCAAGAAATTATTAACTCATGCTGATGCCATGTCGGATGTTATGGAAGATACCACATCCACTTCGTTATTCTGACGTGGCAATTTCTGCTTGAGACTTGGTGGCAAAATTAACGGTAGGGGGCTTAAGGTAAAAAAATTTATAATATTAAGGAAGCTAAATTTAAACTTTGAAACATTAGGGAGATTATATGCAAATGACTCAAAGTTTAAAGGAGTTTTTAATATTTTAGCTATTCATAGTTAAGATCCGATTTCTAACAATAATTTTTTAAATTCAAGAATCCAAATGACAATTTTATATTTTTAGAGTCTTTATTTGCAATTCTTCCTAAAATATACCAAAAGTCATATAAATAGAACTGGGGTGATACTTTTCACGTCAACTATCTAAGCATAAAATTGATTTGCGATGGGAAAAAAAATTAGTTAAGTAAAGGATGCGTCATAAACATATGTTAGTTTTATATTTATGTGTGTGTATTCTCATATGGCTAACATATATGTGATTTAAAAGTTATTTAATTTGATCAAATCGACCCAACCCGATGCTTTGTATGATTATTAATTAATAGATGAACTTGTTGTGTGTGGTAATTTGATAACATTAAGATGAAATATACAAAGCGGCTTGATGAGAATAACTCAAAGGTGATTAGTACTAGTACAAATTAAAATATTAATAATTAATTAAAAAGTAATAATATGTATCTAGGAAGTGGTAGTGGAGGATGAGTTAGCAGAAGAAGAGTGGAAATTATAATTAGGATGAAGCAGTTGGGAATAATAGGCTGAAGAGGGGCTCTCATGATTGTGAACGCCTTCATAGGTTGTGATCACATAGTTCGCATCCTCTGTGTCCCTTTCCACTCTCTTCTTCACATTGCATCCTTCACTTCCACACTTGTAGTAGTTCCTGTTTCATCATATATATATATTCACATTTTAAATTCACATCCTAACTTTTATTGCTTTTAATTAATTAATAGCTCTGCATATATTCCACATTAAGTTTGTTTCATTTTTCAAAAAAAAAAAAAAGGCATGCAATGGAATATAGATCGATGCTCAAGTTTCTTGAGTTACAAAGAAATATACGTGCACATTAATTAGGTCTCTGTTTACCATGCACGTAATTATGGGGATGTTAATTAATTAATTAGGTCACACGAGGCCAAAAAAATTAATTAGGTCATATGGTGTAGTAAAATCACAGAGATAATATGTTGGTTATGTGAATAGTAGATTAAATGGGATGAAATTTTATAACTTGCCATTTAATTATCAACATGATTATGGCATGATTAATTAAATCAAATTGAAGGGCACGCTTTGTAGATATATAGAATCTTTCATAATTATGAAATCATACAAATTTAGAAAGAGACAGGAGATAGCATGATTATATATTTCCATAATTTTTAGAAAGAGACAGGAGATAACACTCATTCTATAATTTTTTTTTTTTTTGGTTGGTCAGACATTCTATATTTCCATGCGGAATACTACTGTCGGTCGTAATAAAGTTAGATAAAAGGATTTACTCAAGATTGCTTTTCATAAGAAGATGCTTATGCATAACCAAAAAAAAAGTTTACTTTGAACCTAACGTCCACTTCAATCCACTGAGTCCTAAATTTATAATTTTTAAAAAAATATTTCTATTAATTGTATTTGTGTAATTAAGGAGTTTTTTATCATATGGTAGTTATAATGCACATGATCAGGAGTATTCTAAACTAACACATATGTATATTACAAATAGCTAGCTTGAATAATTTTTTTAATACTATTTGGTTGTTATATACTATCTTCAACCAGTTGACTAATTTAAGTATATCAAGAAAGTCTGTTAAATTAGTTATTCGTAATAAACAGATGTTGTCTTCCCTAAAATACTCTTACTAATTATGTGTAATAGTTAGAATTACCATTTAATAAAATATTTAACATGTGCAACTATTACCAGAACTAATTTAAAAAAATAAATAAATATGAGACAGATATATTATATTTGGCATCAAAATTAAATGTTAAGTTGATATAGTTAAGTTCATGAATACAATACAATTTTTTATTAGGACAGAATTGAATACCACACATGTTTTGTTGGTTTGTGTGGTTTTTGGACTATGTACCCCAGTACCCCCACACAGTCGCTGTGCAGACAAAGGCTTCACTAATCGGCTCGCATTTAATAATATGAGCAGCCACATGCACATGAAATCTGGGGTCCATTGGGCACTCACGCTCAACATTTATTTACCAAACATAACTTTAAATTAACTAATCTATAGCTATATATTATTTGGGGTCTTACTTATGAGCAAGTAGTAATCTCTTTCATTTATTTAATTGTCATCATTTCATATTTTAATGGTGAAACATCACTAATTATAATATTAAACCATTATATATTGTTCATTAATTTAGGTAAACTAAGAAAGTGAAATAAATTACTTAATTTTAATAAATATGACATGATGCCCTTATATAACATTAAATTATACATCAGTTTATAAGTTAAATAAATTAATTTTAAAAAATATAGATATAATCACATAAGGAATAAAATAAATTAAGATATTAATTAGGTCTAAAATGAAAACCATCTCTCCCACTCCTACGTTTGGTACAAAAGCAGTACAAAGAAACATTATGATGTTTTTTCAAGAAATCTTTAAGTAATAATAAATGCGCATGTACTATTAATTAAATTAAATGAATTATGGAGATTGATGTATATGGAGAGCCGATAAGGAGAACCTATGGTGGGATCCATTAATGTGATTCGCATGCTCATGTAAATCTGAGTTAAAAAAACTTAAATTGGAATAAATAATAATATTAATGAAGCCCCACTATATAGCTAATTAAATTACCAATGCATCAAAGAATATTCATATAATTAATTAATAGTAATTTGGATATTTGATGAATTTAATTAATAATTACCTTGGATTTGGATTACTCTTCACAGATTTCTTTCCGTATTTCCTCCATTTGTATCCATCATCCATAACATCAAGCTCCGATCTTGTCCTAAACGCGATCCTTTGCGTCACTTGTGTTCTAAAGTTTCGCTTTCCCCCATCTTCACATTCCCTGTACAACGTCAAAACATCCGAAACACAACAATTAATAATAAATTAGATCAGAAGAAACATCATTAGCTTCATCATCTTCTTCTTCTTCTTCGTCTTGTTCAAATGAACGCAGAATCAGACATACATAAAACCAGTAGAGAGAGAAAGTAGCTAATTAATAATATAAATATAATTCACTTGCATGTTGTTGTAGCTGATGTCCGATGTTGCACCAGTGCTAAACTCAGTACTGTTCGCCTTCTCCGATGATTCTGTGCTCTGATGTGACCAATCATGTTCTTGACGATGATCGTCTTCTGCAACATCCTCGAACATGAGGTAATCGGATAAGATGAACTCAGATGGGGAAGAAGCCACCACCTCCATATTATTCACGCCGCCATAATTAGGGTTTGGATTAGGGTTTTCAAAGTAGTAGTTCATTTTTCAGCTGTGGATCGATCCAGCCACTGCAAAAATGGTAACTAGCTACTGTTATTAAACGCAGAGGCTGGTGAAGAAGGAGGTGGGTTTAGTCTCTTTTGACTGTTTTATGCTTGAAGCGAACTAGCTAGTGGATATATACGAGATGGTATCTTGGGGGAAAAAGTCCTTTTTTTTTTTTAAATATTATTTTTAATTTCTTTTTATTTTTAATGCTTATAGGATGCTTCACTGACATCTTCCAGGATGTTGCGGGGAAGGTTCTTCAACGACTACGTGTCATCATCAGGGACGTTGAGGTGACGTCATTGTCATGACGTAATATAAAAGGGGGTAGCTTATGGGTAATTCGGGATAGCCACAAAAAAATGGCATCATCTAGCTGGCATAGAGCGATGGGGGTGGCTAGCACAGAGTAATCATGGTCATTTACTCAAAAGCAGTCCAAAAAAATGGTAGGAAAAATTACCATAAAATTTTAAAGAATAAATATAATTATAAAAACAAATCAATAACAAATAAGTAATATGGATCTTCTTTTTTTCTGGTGAAACTTGTTGTTCATTAATTATGAGATCTTTTTTAATAATTATATTTTTTTAGGACCAAATTAAATGATAATTTTTCCTAATTTATGTGATCTATCTTAAATTTGCATATAAATTATATAATCTATTTTAGTTTTGTACTTTTGTACAAAGACCTACTCTATTTATATAATATTACCTCCGATCCTTAATATAAGACCCTATTTAACTTTTATTTTGGTCCTAAATATAAGACCTCAATCCATTTTATCTCTCATATTTACTCAATTTTTTTCAAGATAGTTCTTCTAATAATTATAGTTTTAGTCAATACACTTGATTAGCAAGGATATTTTAGGAAAGACAACACCTATTTAGGACAAATAACTAACTCAACTTACTTCATTAATCTTCTCAAATTAGTCAACTGGTTTTTATAATTAGAACCGGAGGTAGTACTATTTATATTTATTTATCCCCCTCTATATACAATACTACAATCAATAGAGCTTGATTCTATCTGAAGGAGTCAATTCCTTGCAGAGTATCGAATCAAATTTTAGATTTTTATTGGGATAGACATTTGTGTTTAGTTGCCAAGAATATTTCAAACAAGATTTTTTTTCCAATGTAAATCTATTTACCATTCTCATTCATTACTTTGATTTATTTCATCTAAAGGTCTCAAATACTACTCATGATCCTTAATATAAGATCTAGTTAATTAATTTAAGCAGACTAGGCAAATTTTTTAAATTAATTATTTGCAATTAATATGTATTATCTTTCTAAAATATCCTTACTAATAATCTGTATTAACTATAATTATAATTTGATAGAACCTTTAACACGTGCAACTACTATATGAATTATTTTAAAAGAAATAAATAAATATAAAAAATAAATTAAATTAAATGTTAAATAAGTTTTCACGTTTAAAAAATGGGAAATAGTAGTTGTTAACATTAATTCAAGACAGCAACATGTCTCTTTTCGGTTCCTTATCTGCATAACGCTGCTCGGCGGTGGACCACAACAGATGCGTGAGCCACTCTAACAAATAGGCCCCTTGTTATTGACAGCTTTTTTCCCCTTACTTTTTTAGAATTAATTAAACTAAAAACTTGTTTGTTACAGATTTTTTTTTTTTTGAATGTTCGATATATAGCGTTAAAAGTGCAGTTAACTGTATCTTGTTTTTCTTATGGATGCGCGCTTTTTTAATGATTCACGCTTGGTTGTTAGAAAGATGATCATTTTGTATTAATTGTGACAATTTTACTCTGTCTCTGGATCCTCTCCAAAAAAGTGTTCACTTTAATGTGGTAAAGATCCCTCCATCCATGGGCAGAAATTCTCCTTCATCACATTACCTTTAGTTTTTCACTTGAGCCGCCATATGCTGCTCACTAAACTATTTGTCAGCCCCAAAACGATATCGCTTCCTAACTAATATTAGCTATTGTCCAAATTATAAAATTTTATTTATAGTTTATAAATAAAATCTTATAATTAAAATTAGAGGTAATATAAGCATTTACAAAATACGTTTAAATAAACCGAGACAAAATTCTTTTGACATATTTACCTTATATTTTATAAATCATCAACCAATTATATTCTTGAAATATTATAATACCTAATTCATTTAAAAATGGAACGTGTATGATCTGAATATATTCAATTAATAAGATTTGAATATATTAAATTAAATGAGAAGCATTATAATTAAATGGGATTTCAATTGGAGGCTTAAATTGAAAAATTAATAATTAATTTCAGATTTGAATAATATCTTAATTAAAATTTGAATATATTAAGTATTATTCAATTTCAAATATAATCAAATATATTAGTCTGTGCATCACATATGGAAGAAATTTCTAGGTATTATTAAAAAATTGTTGCGAGCATCCAAATATCTGCCCAACATTGAGTGGTGTTAAAATCAGCACTAAAGTACCCTGGGTTTGTATATTTGCTAATTGCTATATTATATATGACGTCATGATTGATATATATTTGCTAATTGCTATATTATATATGACGTCATGATTGATATATATTTGCTAATTGCTATATTATATATGACGTCATAATTGATATTTATTTGACTCCAAAATCTAAATTGATAAGCATCAAACCATTGCCAAGATAAAGCTTTCTTTTATATATTTTTTGTTGGGAAGATAAAGCTTTGGGATAATTAATATGCAAATCCTCATAATTTCAATCTATGTTTAATCAGTTCTTATAATTTTTTTATCAGGTTCTTATAATTTCACATGTTTTTAATCAGGTCTTTATAATTTTTTTCTTTTTATCAAATCCTTATTGTTTTAACTTATTTTTAATTAGGTCCTTATACTTTTTATTCTTTATTCTGTAAATAATAAATTATTATAATAATCTCATGTTAATATTTTTTTAAATTTTTAGTTAAACATATATATTATTTATTTTTCAATTCTAATTTTTATAATTATAATATTCAAATAATAATAATAATATTTTCTAAAATTAGAATATGATTATAAATAATTTTTAGCCAAGTATAATTGATTATTCTGATTAATTATTAATTACTAGATAATTATATTAATTATTTTGTCCAATTATATAATTATTAATTTAAAAATAAAATTAAGTTTAAAGAATAAAGTTAATAAATAATTTTTTAAAAACTGCAAAGGACCTAACTAAAAAATAAGTAAAACTATAAGAACCTAATAAAAAAGAAAAAAATGAAAGAGCCTAATTAAAAATACGTGAAAGTAAAAAGATTTGATAAAAAGAAAAAAATTTATAGGGACCTAATTAAAAATCACATAAAATTATAAGGATCCGGAGATTAATTATCCCTAAAGCTTTCTATTATTATATGCCAAAGCGGAAAGCTACTGTTCAGAAATAGGAAGAAAGTCGTATTAATATTATTCCAATGATTTTATTAAAAAATATCATTCCAATTATATTCTTATAATTATACAATACATGCGAAAACATGTCCAGTTTTCCAACGGTATGCTGGTTAACCAAATCCATTCCAACTCATGCTTTTATGACTGCATGGTTTGGTTATTTTTACTTTCAGTCTTGTATTAGTTAATTTTAATTATACTGTATTTACTATTTTAAGATATTTAAGATTATAATTTTATTTGAATTTCACTTTTCATTGACAGGTGATTTGAAATTTGGTGCTTCTGTGTGGCTGACGTGGGACATGTCTTACCATGGCATTAAAGCATTAAAACTTTACAAGACATTATCACCACAAAGGGAAAAAAAAAAAAAAAAAACTTTACAAGACATTTCCATGTCAAGTCACCTCGAAAGGGCTCTGATGGCTGTCAAATTTGTCAACAATTACGCCTGTAAAAGTTAGCAAAGGGATTTGTTTTTCACTCGAACTCTATTTTTTATTTTTAATATTTATTTTTTTTCTCCAACTTAATTTATCTAACATATAAATTAATATATAATCTAATATTAGGTAGGAATTGAATATTTTAGAAAATAAGGTTATATTTGTGATAATTAAATAATTTATATCACTTCATCAATCTATCTAAATTAGTTAAATAATTCGTATATTAAGGATTATAAGAGTAATTTTTCCCTCATAACCTTTCCTATTAATTACATATAGTAGGAGGGTTTTCTATCTAGAAAGTAATTTTAAATGTAAATGATTAAAAATGAGAGTTTAGAGAAACCAATATATATTTTTAACAAATATAACCATAACAATAATAAATTTTATCTTATAAGGTAGGTTAATTACATAAACCGCATAATGACATTAAGTTCAATCAACAATCAAATGCCTAAAATCAATTATATGGCTCCTACGTGTAGCATCAAAAGAAGCATATTATTTACCACCAAGCGTTGGGTGGAGTGGTAAAGGCACCTGATACACCCCAGGCAGACGAGAGTTCGAACCTGGAACCGTATTTGTTGGGAGGGTTTACCGCCTTTGGTGCAAAGCACCTTATATGGGCGTGACTAAAAAAATAACCCCGCTCCGGATTAGTCAGTTACCCCTGGTTACCTGATCCAGTTTAGAAGGCCAGGGACTCAGGAAAAGGCACTGGATACCGGGGGGAATCGCGGGGGGGCCATAGGCCTCAATCTGCCCTAGATCACCAAAAAAAAAAAAAAGAAGCATATTATTTTACTATACTAACTCCGGTCCTTAATATAAGACTTTGTTTGATTTTTATTTTGACCATAAATATAAGACTTCAATCCACTTTATCTCTCATATTTATGTATTTTTTTTCAAAGTAGTCCTTCTAACAATAATAGTCCTAACCAATATACTTGATTAGCAAGGATATTATAGGAAAGATAATACATATTTATTACAAATAACTAATTTTTTTTAATTTTTTTAGATTAATCAACTAGTTCTTATAATTAGGATATGAAGTAGTTTAAGGTTAGAGTGGAGTCAGACATGTCCAAAGGTTGACCACCCAGTGGTTAAGTGGACGTCATTGTATAATCAATGAGGCTGAATTTCCTTCACGGATGCAAGATTCTTGTTTGCGTTCGT